AAGGATAAGGCGGAAATTTTAATTAAAAATTCAAAAGTTGCAGAAAATACAGGGGCTAAAAAATGTAAATATAAGCATTGAATTATCATTTTTTGACAGATGCAGTCTCATAACTGCAATGGTATGTGCAAACAAATTATCATAACGCGCTAACGCGCGTTACTCAATTTGTTTGCACACACCATTGCAGTTATGAGACTGCATCTGTCAAAAAATGATAATTCAATGCTTGAATATTTTTGATCAATATAGGGCTTGTACATTTGCATTTATCATGACCACCTGGATACAAGGACAGGTACTTCTTAAAAATAGTTTAAAAAGCAAATTCCATAATTAATAATACCTTTCATATTCCTTATCCTTTTCAACGATGCGAATTTCTCCATCTTGCAGTCGATTAACTCTGTCTAGGATTTCGACATGATTTTGACAAATAACTAAGTTTTTCACAGAGCACATTCTGAACAAGAAAATATACAAACAAGTCAGTAGCATTTGTAGATATATGTATTTAACATATTCTAAAATGAGTATAAATTATAAGATTTTATCAAAATGATTAAGTAGTTAAACATGTATACAAGAATGAATGAATAACATAATTAGGTCAAGTACTTGTATAAAAAATACAATATTACATGAAAGTGTCCAAAGCAAAATTGAAATATCAGCAATAACATTTGTAATGTATTCTCTATTGTAAATTTATGAAAAATCAAATCATTTGATATTTCAGTATACAAAACAAGAATGGACATTTTTTTACAGGTCAAATTCAGACAAGATTGTGTACATCCTCCCCCAGTCTTGTTTTTCTACCAACCGGTACTAGTACCGGTCCCCATTCGATTGGGAAAAAAGCGTCAAAATGGAGGATTTGGGGAATTTTGGGAATTTTCTAACACTTTATCAGAAATCAACTTCAAGAGTAAACAGCAAAACAGTTAATAATAATCTTTTACAAGTTTATTTCTCTAGTTTTCATTTTTTTTTTAAATTGTCAATGATGGCAGCCACTTACAGTGGAGTCAGTGACTGACTACCATATCTGCAAATTCTCATTAGAGCACATAAAGTGTTCGCCCCAGTCTGTTACTGTTCTCTGTGCATAGGAAGTTCATAAGGCCAAAAATCCTCTCCACTGAGGCTGTGCTGATGGGAATCAAACGTGAGAGGAAGACCAGAGTGAACATGTATGGAAAGGTTTTTCTCATAACTGCATCATCAAGGAACATCTACAGCAAATAATTTTCTGGATAACTTTGTCTACAAATAATATTTATAATAAATTATTCTTTATTTAATAGTTATTTAAATGAATAATATGTCAATTGATAAATAAAATAAATATAAAAAGAATCCATACAACTTTTTACTGAAAGTATAGCAAATGCACAACCATCAAACAACTCTGCTGAATGGAAGTACAACCAAAATTTAAAAAAAAGACAAAAGAAACAAAACTCGAAAAAAAAATTAACTGGAGTGCTACCTATGCATAAACATAACTGTTGGTTAAAGGTCTAGAAATCTGCAACACCATTGTGTTTACTAAAAAAAAGCAGGGACATTTGTTCTGTGTCCAAGGAATACATCTTCTTTCATCAAGCCATAATGAGATGTGAGGCTTTCAATATATACCTCATTGAAATCATATGTATATATGATGAAGATAAAATTATCAAAAAATTTAAATTCAATAAATATATTCATGGGTTTGATTATGATATAATAAATTGAAATTTTCATAATCTCCTATGACTTACGCAATTACCTGATTACATTATTTTTTTTATTATGACTCACGTTGCCAAAATCTTGAAGTTCCCCAACATTGCCTGGTAGATGATTCTTGTTGAAAAGTGAAAATATTGATGAATTGGAGAGAAGTGGAATCCATTCTCGAACTCTTGAATGACATTATGAACCATTGGGATTGCCAGTTTTTCCACCACTCTCTCTTGTGTGTACGCCTGTCTGTCCTTGATTATAACTCATATTCAAACATGTAATAAATATTAATAGTTTCTATTACCACTTAATAGTGACTCTCTGAACTGTCATATATAATAATTATTACCTTAATCTCCTTGTATAAAAGTTCTCTCATCAATTTCTTCAAAAAATTTATTTCATTCTTCAAGGCAAATGCTGTCATCATGATTGGTAAGAGTTCCCCCAAATCTTTCAATAAGGTTGTGAAGTGAATCAGTGAGGTCCTTGAGTGGATGAATTAATAAATATTAATTAAACACAATCTGAATAAATGTGCAAACAAGTAGGTGTTATTTTAAGTTTAATAAACCAATCAATTGATTTTGACATATAATTTGTATCATTGCAAGTAAAAGATTTTTACCTTCAGCTTTATTGTCACCATACTGAAATCAACAGATCCTTGAAGATACTTGCAAAAGATGGAAACTGGTTGAAGCATGTCACATAAAACAAGAATAACTGCAACAGTATTCTTGTTTATAATGAAATCGCGGACATCAAGTATTTCAGGCTCCCTTTTTCAAGAGTTCATCAAGTGTGTCAATTATCTGAAAATATTGGAGATAATGTATAACTGATTAAAAAGTAAAACTAAAGATTTTATTTGTGTAACTGACTTTTGTAAAATGTTATAAATTCTTTATTATAAAATCTAATGTGTGGATTTAGTAATTACCAGAACAGATCTTTGGATGACTCTTTTGCATTCATCTCAATGTGATAACCATCTTGTAACTGCAGCTCGTCTTAAGACCAACTCTTTCTCTGCATAACTAGCTTGTACATCTTTAAAAACAGCAAACTTTTGAAGTGAATTGTTAAACAGCTTATATATGGCCAGAAGAGCTAGATCTACATCCTCTAGTACAGGAAAATATCTCATCAAGTGTTTGACACAGAGTGCCAGACGATGGTTTCTTTAATTGATGTACAAAATGTGAGGCATCACTTGTCTAAATCGGCGCTGGAGACCTACAATTTTTTTTATCATATTATTTTTAACTTTAAGACTCAATGTCGTGAAAGAATAAAATCTTCAAATTAAAAAGAACATTTTTTTCTCTCTTGAAATAATATTTAAATAATCATTAATATTTAAATCATATTTTCTCGAAGAGCTTTCCATGTTTGTCTTCCAAGAGTTTAACACCTACCTGTATTTTCACCACTCATGGTGTTACACCCATCAGATCCAACTAACAGAATTTTTTATATATATATCTCTTCAGAAATCAAAAATCTCTCAATTTCACTCATTTAAGTTGCTGCATCAGTATTCTTCACATTGATCATCCCTAAAAAATGATCTTTTATGGTTTTATCTGTATCTAGACATCTTATCAGTATTGCTAAATGGGTTCTGTTGGCCTCATATGTGGACTCATCTGCTAGTAAACCCATATGAGGTGAATTTCTTATTGTTGTAGGAGAGTGATTTCTCAAGACTAGCGTTAATAAAAAAGAACAATGTCTTTGACGGAAGTTGAAGAAATGTAAGTCACTGATGGGTGATTTGCCATTAAGTTCAAAGCACTTGGGCATTTCTGAAAGTGAAAGAAATTAAGAATATCTCCTAGGCTGTTTATTGTCCAATATTTTCTAATTGCAAAAAAGGCAGAATTAATGAGCGTAAACATAAATGTTCTGTTCATCTCCTCACTTTTGGGTCTTCGTAGTAGTTATTGAAGGACAGTCGGTTGTACTTCTGATGTTTTCATCTTTAAACATTTACGAAGAGACTCTGCATGCAAATCCAAATGTCCATAATTTTCTATTTGGATGGCTTCCAAGAATTGTTCCAAGAATAAAGGTAGATGTTGACAAGGGATCCCCCACACATTTCACAATACCTACAACAATATACATTCTTGGATGCACTAAAGAAAAGCCATTTATAATGTCTTTCATACTTTGTTGTAAGTACGCTGGAAAGTCGGCAAGATTTGGTTTTAAATTCCTCCTCCCTCCGATTGTTGAGTACTACATGTAGCACTTACTTTAGTTCGTTGTTTGTGAGTGTCTCTGCTTTGTGTCACAACAAAACCAGAAATTGTAACTGAAATGTTTTGTTCCACACTAGAATAAAAATTAGATACTCCGAGCATACCAGTAGCTTCACTTAATTCAGCTGTAACATGTTTACAGGCTGTAGGTAAGCTGACATCTACTTCTAGGACTGAACTAACAGTAGGACCAGACTGACTAACTTCAGTGACTGCAATAAATTAAAAGCAAATAAAACTTAATCCCTAAATCTAAGCTTTTAACATTTTTCAATTCATCTTTCTGTATTGTTGTAATCATCATATTTTAATTATAAAAGGAAAGGGAAATGATTGATGCTGAATGTTAATCAGTATGAGTATCTGTTCCTTATGCTGTTATGTTTAATTCCATATATTATAAACCTACATATATTCTCATTCTGGGACAGCTTCCGAAATAGCGTGTCAATTTTCTAGCTGGAGCGGTCTTTCTTTAGTTTTTAGGTCACCTGATTTACTAGGGTGACCTATTGCCATCTGTTTTTGTCCATCATTGTCCGTCGTGTGTTAACATTTATACTGCATTTATGGGTGAAGGGGAACAAAAAATGTGATTGTGAATTTTAAGGTTCCCGCCCCCCTGGGGCCTGAGGGGTGGGGTCAAAACCAGCAAAATTATTGTAATCTTTAAAAATCTTCTTCTTTACTCCTGGACATCAAGCAGGCAAGCTGTTGGCATGTAATGATCATTGAGTCCTCTACCAAAATTGTGAAATTCGTGGCCCAGGGTCAGGGGTTTTTGTGCTAGGGCGGGGATATATAGATTATATAGTGAAAATGCATATATTCTTTGAAAATCTTCTCTGCTTCTGGGTATTAATTGATTCTGGTTATTTAATGAACTAACTAAAAACTAACTAACTAAACACCTTTTTTTTTAATTGATATCAATTGTCACATCATTGTGTTTACAATATCAATATCAATATATCATTAATACATATAATTAACAAATACAAAAAAAATATAATAGTGACAATTGCAAAAGGAAAAGAGAAAGAAAGGAAGAGAGAGAGAGAGTAAAAGAGGATTGAGAAATGGTAAAGAAGCTAGAGCATTTTCATAGGAGTAAAGTTGTGGCATATGCATGTCCAAGCATTGCAAAAGGTCTTTAGGTGTCTGGTATCAGGGTCTTACATGAGTGAAAGCCAGTCTTTCCATTAAGTGTTAAATTCATTAATTTGATTATTCTTTGTAGCACTATATTTCATCGTAGATAGTAATATTTTAATATCTCCACGTAATGCTTGTAATCCCAAAACCTCATTTCGACATTTATTTCTATATATAAATGATTTAATGCATAAAAATATTGTATTTAATTCACTATTGTTGGGTTTTGGATTTCCAAAAATGAAATTAGGACTATCGTTTGGAAACTCTATATTATGAGCTTCACAGAGAAGAGTAAAACTATGTAAAAGTTCCTGAACCTTCTGGCATTCCCACATAATATGAAAAATTGTTTCCTCACATGTCTCACAGAAGCTACATAGTTTAGTATCCTTCAAACCTATTTTGTATAACGTTTTATTTGTAACCAAAATATGCGGATTTATTCTGAATTGCAGCCATTGCAATTTAGAAATTTTTGTACATTGAAAAGGAATATTGTATATTATTTCCCATAGGGAATCTTGAATTTCAAAATGTTTACTCCATTTTACTTTTGAAAAAGGTACTATGTGTTCTGTATTCAAAATTTTATACATAGCTTTTGTTCCTGTTTTACATAGACAGAATAATTTTAAATAAAAAGGTAGAATGGGCCTTGGGTTTAATCTTTCTTTGTTTACTTTTTCTACAGCCATCGCCTCTTTTATTGCTTTCTGTAAACTTGCATAAGTTTAAAAGTTGGTTTCTATATTAAATTTTGCTTTTAGATTCTCTAATTCTAAAAAAGATCCTGTTTCATCTAACAAATCTGAGATAAAAATTACATCATTCATAAACCATTAGGGGTAAAAAATGGGCTTATTGTCAATTTTAAGGTTTTTATTGTACCATAATGTTTGAGTGATAAAATCTTCCCATGGCTCTATTTTCATTTTGTCTTCTATATTTTTGAAAGCAATTAAAGTATCTTTCCAAAAGTCATTAGTTATACTTTTAATATTATTTCAATATAATTTGAACCAGTATTAAATAGTTTTTTGATATTAAAATATTTTTGAACCAGTGATCTCCATTTTGAATCCTGCCCATTGAGTAGTTTTTTAATCCAAGATGATTTTAAGCTCTTAATGTAGTTATTTAAATCAATCATATTCAATCCTCCACTCTTGTAATCTTGAGTAAATTGTTTTCTTTTTATCTTGTCCACTTTTGATTTCCAAAGAAAATTAAATAGAACACAATTTAGATTTTTTACAAAATTTTCAGAAGGTGAATGTAAAGCAATAAAAAGATGGTTTAATTGTGATATTAATAGTGATTTTATCAGTGAAATCCTACCCAAAGGAGTAGTACGTCTTTTACTCCACTGTAGTATTATATTCTTAATTTTGACCAATTTCTTGTCATAGTTGAGTTTTGGAACTCTAGTTAAGTCAACATCAAAGAAAATACCTAGTACTTTAAATTGTGTTGTCCATTGAAAGTTCATTTCATTAAGTAGTTTTTCATTTGAATATTTTTTTACTTCCTATCCAGACTATTTTTTTTAGAGAGATTAATTTTAAGTCCTGATAATTTATGAAATTTATCTATTTCTTCAATGCAATTTCTTAAGGATTGTTCTGTTCCATCTAATATAAATAGTGTGTCATCCGCATAATGAGACATTAGGTATTCCTCCCCATCAATTTTAGTCCCTTTAATATCTTTATATTTTTTTTAAAGCTAATATGTCTGCACATAGTAAAAATATATATGGAGAAATTGGATCACCCTGGCGACAACCACGGCCTAATTCAAAGAAATTAGATAGGTGGCCTGCTTGATTAATTGCTGATACAATATTACATTGAAATAATGAAACCCATCTTCTCAAAGAAGGACCAAAATTAAAGAATTTTAGGGCTTTATCAATAAAATTCCATGACACTGTGTCAAATGCTTTTTCAAAATCAATCATTAACAACATTCCAGGGATATTTCTTTCTGCTGTATAATGCATTAGATCATAAATTAACCTGGTATTTTCTCCTATGTATCTTCCAGGTACAAAACCTGTCTGGTCTGAACTTATAATTGTATTCAAGATATTTTTCATTCGACTTGCTATACAGCCGGAAGCTATTTTATATACAACGTTTAATAAAGATATTGGGCGCCAATTTTTTTATAAAAAAATTACTTTTTCCTTCTTTAGATATACAAGTAATAATTCCCTGTTTTTGTGTTACAGAAAGCTCTCCTTTTTTGTAAGCATAATTTATTGATCTTACTATGAAATTTCCTAGTTGTTTCCAGAAAACTTTGAAGAATTCTGTTGTAAAACCATCGCTTCCAGGACTTTTATTATTTGACATGTTTTTCAAAACTAGAAATGCTTCATTTAGAGTTATCTCCCCTTCAAGACTATTCTTTTGTCCATCACTAAGTTTTTCTGCAGCAATGTTCCAAGTATGATCACTTAGATCAATATCTGTCATATCAGAGTTAGCCTCATAAAGTGTTTTATAATATTTTTCAATTTCAAGAATAATATCTTTCTGATTTGTTATTTTAGAATCTATTGATTCATCTTTAATCCATTTAGGGATTATTTCATTTGTAAAGTGTCTGTTCTCAAGGTTTAGAAAGTAATTAGTAGGTTTTTCTCCTTCATTCATCCATTTTACTCTAGACCTTATGATATTTCCCATAAGTTTATGTTCTCTTATATTTTCTAATTCCTTTTTTTATCCTTTATTGTTTGTATATTTTTATTATAGTCTTTTTCCAACGTTTCAATTTCAGAAATTAACTGATTTTCTTTCTCATTACTTTTTTTCTTTACAAAACTGGAAAAAGAAATGGTTTTGCCTCTAATTTCCATTAAGAGTGTTTCAAGGAAAAGCTGTTCATCTACAGTAAACTGAATTTCTTCATCTGATATTTTGTTGACAAATTCTTATGAATAGATAGGTAATGCATAATTTTCCTTTGTTTCTTGAATAACTTTTTTGACTGTTTCAATATATTTGATATTTTTAAGAAGTGAGTTATTAAATTTCCACAAACCTTTTCCATGAGTAAACTCTTTAATTTAATCTTAAGATATATTGGTGAGTGATCGGATTTATAACTATCTTGATTTGATAAATCCTTTATTATATCTGATAATCTTTCATAAAATGAGGGTGTGTCCTCATTTGGTCCATAAATTGTAATTAAACTCAGACGCTTGTTTTCAATTGTCAAATCTAAAGCCAAAAGATTCCCTGCATCATCAGTTACTTTATTATGAACCTCGTATTCAAAATTATTATTAAAAAATATAGCTACCCCTCTTGACTTTGACGAAAATGTATTAAAATATGCTTCATATCCCCATTCATTTTTAATATCATTCTCCATATCATCTGTAAAATGAGTGTCTTGTAGACACAAAATATTGCATTGAAATTGCTTATAATACTGGAGTACGTCCTTTCTCTTTTTAAAATCATTAAGACCCTGACAATTTACTGAAACTACTGTACTACCAGACATGAAATATGAAATTGAACTGGTGCAAAAAACCTGGAAAAACATTTACTCACCATCAGAAAATATGTCGCTCTGAACATGCTAAAGGTAGAAGAAAAGATAGAAGAGGAGATTAAAGAATGATTTAGTAATAAAGACACATGCATCATGGAGTGATAGATATGCACGTCTTGTTAGAGATTTTGTCGATAGGGCAACAATAAATTTATATATAAATCATATCGGAAATGCCGTTAAGAGAATAAAATAGGAAATCAAAAAGAGTAGACATTGAAATCCGGAAAAGTACAAATGTAATTTCCAAGTCGAAAACTATTTTTAAATCCTTTTGATTATATAGTGAAAACGTATTAATTCTTTGAAAATCTTTTCCTTTGCTCCTGGGTTTTATGCAAATAATCAAAGTATATATATTTATGATTAAGAAAGATGCATCTAGAAAAATGGTTATTTTCTATGCCCCCAGGGTCGGGAGGGGGGTCATAATCAGAAAATAAATTACTGCTTTGAAATCTGCTCTTTAGTATTAATCAACCATTTTTTGATAAAATTTGCAAAATTTTGAAATATGTGGCCCCAGGGTCAGTGGTTCCTTTGGGATAAGGTGCAAAACTGGTTATGAAGTGGAAGTGCATTTTCTCTTTGTTACTCTGATCTACATCTAGGTATAAGGTAAATGGAGTAAGCATGCTAAGTTTATAATTATGATAAGCAATGGTGCCTCCTTCAAAATTGTGAATTGTGAATTCCATGGCCTCTGGTTTAAAAGACTTACCAATTTTAATTGTTTGAAAGTTGTTGAAAAAT